ATATATTTCTAATATTGAATCTTTAAAGAACTGAAAATAGCTATATTATATTTTATAAAACAGACCTAAAATAATTACTGCAGATTTATTAGAGGATTAAAATATTTAAAAGTTTTTTTAATTAATAAAAATACACCTCTGTAAAGAAATATTTTAAATTAATTTACTAGGCTTATATACAATTATTGGAGGTTGATTAGGAAATATATATGGTGTGGCAGAAATCCTAATAAAGATTGCCTAATTCAGAGAGATTTAGAGACAAATTAATGATGATTCTAATTTGATATGATATTTTGCCATAATCATTGAATTTTTATGGCAAAATTAATTTGATAATCTCAGTTATCAGAAAATAATTTTAAAATATAATATGTTTAAATATTATTTAACAGTTTGGGAACCAAAATATGCCCATTTTATCTAGTATATTTCATTTATATTAGTGAAGTTCCTAACCTGGAAATTCACAAATTATCTATAAAATCTTCTTTTTAGTATCTATTAAGAATAGATCATTATCATCGACCTTGCTTTCTAAACGTTACGAGGTATACGGTCAATTAGAAATTAATATATGCAGATTTTTGATCATGAAATTATTGTTTATCATTATTATCAATTGTAAAATATTTATTAATCATTAATGCTTTATATTTTTTAAACAACACTAAAAAAATTAAATTTCATTAAACAAAATTGGTTTTTAATAAAAGGTATCAATTTCACTTCAAATGACACAAATAAAATTTAAAAAGAAGTTTATAGAAAAAATTTCGAATCCATAATTAAACTAATACTTTTACTCTACTTTTCAATTATTCTCTATCTTTAAATATTTTATTTCATAAATTGCATTTTATAAAATGCAATAAATAACTAATTATCAAAAACATACAATAAATATATATATTGATTAAATCTCAATCTGATAAATAATTATTAAACGAAAAGTGTTCGAAATTTTAACTATCCTATAATTTAAATTTTAAATCAGAACAATATTGATTTCGATAGATAGCTTTCAAAACTTATCATTAATCTAAAATTGGTCTTTCATACACGAAATAAATAATAATGTAGATACTATTAATAAAGTACTTTTAGGGATAAATAATAAAAGATTTAGATTAGATGGACATAGTGTTAAGTTAAATCAGTATACTACTCTTGTCTCAATATTCCATAAGAGAAGTGAATTATCATAATTACCTGATGATAATGTAGTACTATTAGGATAGAGAAGCATATAACTAAACAGTTCCACTATATTCTTCTAATTTAAATTTTTTATCATCTAATCCCATAGTTATCCATCATAACCGAAGCTAAAGTATTTCTGTCCAAACTCTAATTTTATGGTCATACAATTTATTGAGTTGCTTTATATTTATTTTTACCCTTTTTAAATTAGAATTAAAAAACAAAGTGGCCTTCTTATCTTGTGATTAATATTTTTTCTAAAAATTGTCCATACAAAATATTTTGAAAAAATTCATGAAAGTCTCATAATTTTCTATTTTAATTATAATCTTCTTTTTACCTCATTCATTTAAGATAATAAAGGGTAAATTGTATAGCGATCTCTGTCGTAACTTGAAGGGTTTAGGTAAGTACAACCTGGTTTTCGATTCATTTACTTGGCCTTTTTTTAATTTTGATTGAATTGCATTATTGAGTCGATCAGGATTTCTAAAATATTAATATTAAGGGACAATTTTTC